AGCAGGATTTATTTTTTATATTTTATAATAATGAGAGGAAAATATTATTTAATAGACTGAAATACTTAAGTCAAACAAGACCCCAGTACGACATTGAACACTGACATGTTGTTGACTGGATACATGTACATTGTACGCGTGTGTTCTCCCTTTTTCAAGCTGGTGAGCTAGTACATTTTTTTCGGGAAATATTGCTGGACACCCTGAACATTTTACTATTACTGTTTGGTCGGTCGGTCGTGGGGAATACACATTTTCATATTTCCCAATACTCATTTCGGTTTTCTGTGTTTGGCATCTCTGCAACTTGCTTTTCTCATCTTGTATTTATCAAACATGCATTTTATTTTAACTGGTGTCTGTGGTGCAGCGGTTAGGCACATCTAAACTGAGTTAACGGGGATGTAAAATAAAATTTTAAAAACCCTACATTTTATTTTTTCCTTCAGATGAAATAATATTCTATAAAACATGTGCATTTGAAGGCCTGAAATGGATTTGTAGTCTTCTTGAACGTGTGCCTGTGAAAAGTATCCCCATTGTATGATGACACGATACACCCGAAACAAATGGCAAGATACAACCGCAACAAAGTAAACAGGCTACTGGCTTACTTTTCAGATATTTTGGCTTTCTTTCTGTTCTATACAACTGTTTATATTGCTTAAGCTAATAAAATACATTCTGGATGTCTGCTTTCCGTATTTTAGTAATGATAAAAACATCACCGTACTGGTCTTGTTGTGTTTCTTCGCGCAACACGGATTGGCCTAAATAAAAAAATTTCCACTCAAAGTTTTTGAATTGTCTGCTTGTCATTTTGTCACATGCATGTGTGTGGTGTTTTAAGTAAAAATTTTAACTATTTCTGTGAAAATTGCAGCTACTATAGGTTGTTTTATGTTGTGCAGAGATACATTCGCAACGAGATGACAGGGCTCAGAAAATATCCTTTGCAAGTAAAACCGTCGAGAAAGTTATCTTGCCAACACAATTTCATGCAAAGGAAGAACCCTGGGTTTCCTTTAAAAGTATTTACAAGCTGTATACATAATAAAACACGTATAGATCTAGATCTATATATAATCATTTTATGTTATTTTCTGGATATTTTTAAAACTCTTTTTTATTAAACATGTCATAAAGTCAAATTGTGCCTTTTCTTTGATAAGAATAGCATTAGCAGTGGACTTTTTAGACAGTGAGTCACTGATTCAATATTTTTTTTAAAATATGCTAATCAATGAAAATTGCAAATTGATAAAAATAGTATAGTCCTGTAGAGGATAGCTGGACTCCGGGGTCTGTATAGCGAAATACTAGGTTTTAGGGTGTGAACCCCGGAGTCACCGTAGTGAAATAAGGTTTGGTTTAAGTAAGGATTGGTGGACCCCGGGGTCAACGTAGTGATACATAAGCAGGTTTAAGGTGGGGTCCGGGGTGTAGCGAAATACTAGGTTTTAGGACAGGTGGACCCCGGGGTCACCGTAGTGAAATAAGTAGATTTCTTTAAGATCAGTGGACCTCGGGGTCACCGCAGTGAAATAAGTAGATTCTCTAGGTTTCTTTAAAGATCGGTGGACCCCGGGGTCATCGTAGTGAAATAAGTAGGTTTAATTATAAAAGGATTGGTGGACCCCGGAGTCACCATAGCCGTAGAAGAATAAGAATGTTTAATTAAGGATTGGTGGACCCCCGGGACACCGTGATTAAACCTACTTATTTTACTACGATGACCGCATGGTCCACCTATTCTAAAACCTAACTAGTATTTCGTTAGGTAGACCCTGGGGTCCACCTTAAACCTACCTATTTCACTACGTTGACTTCAGGGTCCACCAATCCTTAAAATTAAACCTAGATCTCTACGTGTACTTATTTCACTACATTGACCCCGGGGTCTTTTATTAGAATAATTAGATCCAACTTTTTTTCTCTAAAATCTGTTTTGCGCAAACTTAAGACTTTCTCTACTAATCTACTTGTAGAGCACAGAATTTACATTGTAAGCCTCTGCTCAGTCTTTTACTTTTAAGTATATATAGGGTGACCTTATTTAGGCCACACTGTGTTTGAGTATGTGTTTGTTTTGTGTGTGGTTGTGGTGAGAGAGAGATCTAGAGAGAAAGAGAGAGAGTAAATGTAATAGTGTGTTTGTATGTGTGTAAATGTTATTGTGTGCATGAGTGTCTATCTCAGATGTACGGTCCAAATGTACATTATTTTGTTGAAATTTTACATAGAACTCAACTACAAAGCACCTTTATACAAAGTCACAGAAACATTCTTTTTGTGCTTATTGAGGTGCAGTACATGGTGATTTTACCTGCAAGGATTTAATTGGACAAAATGGGCAATATCTTTATAATGCTAATACTAATGGTCATAGACAAATCCTATATCATTATTAACAGCTCATGGTTATTAAAGAGTATGCAAAGTAGATCAAGGTAGTAATTTCGGATTCCTAATATTATGGGCATTCTTAAAAAATTTTAACTTGTTTTTAGCGCTTTTCTCAACGTAAAACGGATTCCGTTAAAAAACAACAACTATGACCTTATCTTTCTTTTTCAAGGTATTGTGCATACATCTGTGTGAAACTATTATATTCTATGCTTTCAAGTACATGAAAAAAGCTAATAAAGTCAAGTAAAATGTTCTTCAGAGACATAGATCTAGTAGTAGGCCCACTGGAACATTTTATAAACATGAAAAGATGACCAGAAAATAACAAAATTATCTTATGATCTTCACTTGCACTTGCATTTTTTTGGACAAATTATAGTCTACCTCATTATCTTTTTTTTCCCACATTTTTCTTCACTATTCTTGACAACTGGCATGTTTATCAGTTATTATCAAGGAAAGGAAGTGGATAGGCGGACCACGGGGTCTATCTAACCCCAAAAGGATAGGTGGACCCCGGGGTCTACCTAACAAAATGCTGTTTTAGGATGTGAACCCCGGAGTCGGCGTAGTGAAATAAGTAGATCTAGTTTTGACTAAGGATTGGTGCACCCCGGGGTCAACATAGTGAAATAAGTAGATCTCAGTTTATGTTATAGTAGGACTGGCGGAGCCCATGGTCAACGTAGTGATATTATAAGTAGATCTAGGTTTAATAAGGATTGGTGGACCCCGGGGTCAATGTAGTGAAATAAGTACACGTAGATCTATGTTTAATTTTAAGGATTGGTGGACCCTGGAGTCAACGTAGTGAAATAGGTGTAGGTTTAAGGTGGACCCCAGGGTCTACCTAACGAAATAGGACCTACTAGTAAGGTTTTAGAATAGGTGGACCATGCGGTCATCGTAGTAAAATAAGTAGGTTTAATCACGGTGTCCAGGGGGTCCACCAATCCTTAATTAAACCTACTTATTTCACTACGATGACCCCGGGGTCCACCGATCTTTAAAGAAACCTAGAGAATCTACTTATTTCACTACGGTGACCCCGGGGTCCACTGATCTTTAAAGAAATCTACTTATTTCACTAGGTGCCCCCGGGGTCCACCTGTCCTTAAACCTAGTATTTCACGAAAACGAAAGTGCCGACGGGGGAAAAGGGGACTCTGGCAGTCGGCTAGGCCTGGCACTTCGCACATTTGATTGACTGATTCAGGTGGGCCTAGCGATGGCATCGGCTGGCTCGTGGGTCGGGTCGCGATTGTCGGATTTCAGACGATTGTCAGTAAACATGCAGGCCTACTTTTTAATATTATATTGCCATGCCATGTTAAGTCTCTAATTTGTTGTAATGTCTCTTCGTCAGGGTTTGGATGTTGAGTGGTGTCGTCAGCCCGATGTAGGACTCATTAAACCCGACAAGGTCATCTACATGATGGTCAGTGGGGACTGTGCATCGCAGAGGTCACAGTTTGGTGAGGAGCGGTATGAGAAGCTGGACTTTCAGGTTAAGGTCAAAAATGTCTTCAAACAGCTGGAGGATCCGGATTATTGGCAGGTCAGATGGCTGTTGATATTGCTGTTGTTAGTGTCAGTGACTGCGGGTCTGTTTGTGTAGGTGCCGACCAGTTTATAGAAAATATAAGTACATTTTTGAGGATCCGAATATATGGAGGTCCATTTTTAGGTTGGAAAATATGAACTGCTCGGTGCAAGACTCTGTCATTCATATATGTCACTTTTCAAATTGACATATGGTGGAGTCTTGCACTAAGCAGTCCATATCTCTATTCTCCGTTTTCCAGTATTGCTCCTCATGGGCTTGCAGATGCTGAAGAAAAATGATGAACTTACAGAGCTTTGAACAGAGTGAAGGCACTACTCATGGCCATTTCTCACTTAATTTGCTCTAAAACCAAACAAATAATGAAAACAAAAAAATATGTTGTGGTCTGCAAACGTGCACATCATCTGGCTACCAGATTTGTAATGGACTTGAGTATTCTCGGCTATAATGCCGAGAGGGACGTTCATTCCAAAATACTGTGTGAAGGGACCAGTAAGCAATCAGGGAACCTTGATGCGGTCATCAAGGAAACGTTATGAGGCCAGGGGACTGTAATGCTATCACACTTGGATATATATGTTGCCAGGACCTCACAACATGATTTGGTAGTGTGCTATGGGGTTTTTAAGAAGCCATGCTGATGCGGTGGCCTCATGGTTGACGGACTTTGACCCAAAAGTTTGGAATCCCCGCAGTGTGATACTCTGTCCTTCGAGGCTTTTTAAAAAATTGTTTCCACCTCCCAGTGTCCTCTCGTGAGATCAAGCAATCCGCCTTCGAAATGACCTGTGTACTGTAGCAGGGTTCATTTTTGACACGAGCTCCGCGCCAATTGGCACATTGGGTCAGAAAATGAACCATTGATTGCACATGCACTGGGTCTATGGACACAAGCGCCCCACATGTCTACTTCATTGCTGTAAAATTTCAGATCCCTGCGTGTTGTACATTTTACGTACCAACTTAAAATTACCACCCGCCACCCATCCATTGATACAGTCCTTGCCGGCTTTAAGGACGGTCATCGGGAGAAAGCTTAAGGACTGGTGGGGCACCTGAGGTCTATTTTGGCTAATACAAGGCCTAGAGTGCCCATATTTGCTGTGGGACATCGTGTGTTATTGGGGATTTTAAATCAGTAGTTTAAAAAGTATATTGTGTGTTGGTTGCTATGGAAGCGGCGGCCATATTGGATTTTGTATACCTTTTTCAATCCCATTTTATTCCCTTATTTATGAACCGATTTACTTCTAATTTGACATGCCAACAGTAAATATGTAGCTCTTAAATTTAGCTTGTTGAAATTTTGATATATGCTTTAGTTTTTATTTTATGACACTTACAATTGGGATGTTGCAAAAAAAAAGTGAAAAAAAAAGGAAAATTCATGCTTACTAAGCCCATAAATCAAAAACCACTCCGTTAATCAAAAATTCAACAAGCCAAAATTTAGAACTAGGTGTTGTTGGTATCCTGTGAAAGTTACATTGGAATTGAACCATAAACAGAGCAGAAAAATGGGATAATATGTGAAAAAATAGAATTGTGAGAAAACAGCCGATACAGGTAAGAAAAGGCTAGAAAACATGTGCTTTCGCAGAAAAGCCTGACAAAAAAACACAGCTTTAGGGTGTAGCAAGGCTTACATACGTTTCTGGATATTGTTCAGGAAATGTCCAGGTACTATAATATGTAATAAACCCAATTTGCAAAATTTGACCCCAAGACCCGATTTCTAGGTGCCCCACCAGCCCTTAAGCGTGCTTAATGCCGAAGCGTGCTTGAGTGCGAAGTAGACATAATCCAGAGATTTTCATGTAGAACATTTCCTGTGCTATTTCCCTTTGTTTGTAAGTAAGCCTATAGCGGTCCCGCAAAAGCGTGCACTGTTATTTTTACCAGCCATTGTAGTTTTTGTTTGCTTGTTTGTTTTTGTTTTGTGGTCGAATGGGAAATGAAAACTTGATTTAGACGGCCAGTAACGATACAGCACACTAGGCCTACACACTGCTGGTGCGTAACAGTGGCCGCTGTGCCACATTCATACCACCGCCTTCACCCCGCCTCGCGCGTGATACACTATCACGATTAATGGATAGGGAGGGTCAAAGGTGGAATTGCGGCCAGCCTCCCTTTCACGTCTCCACGACTCTCTTTGTATTTTTGGGGGGTCTATGTGTAGCTTTGCCCTAGGCTAGATCCTATGTCCACGTGCGCGGCTGTGTGCATCTCTCTCATGCCTTCCTCTCCGCCCTTGTGAGTGTGTGTCTCTATCACTTGCGTTCTTTGTGTTTCTCTTAACACACTCCAATGCTGCGGTGTAAACTGTGTTCGAACTTCGATGGGTCATCATGAAAATATTGACTGTCTGGTAAATTAAGCGTGCATGAAGCCGAAGTTACCGTGCTTAAAGGCGTGTAGTGTAATTTATATAGCAAAATTTCGGTAAGAGCCGTTTAGCGTGCTTGTGTCTGAAACGTGCTTTATGCCGGCGTGCTTAAAGCCGGCACGGACTGCATTATTAAAACGCTCGAGCTGGAAACTACAGGGCTGCCTAAATCTACCGATTTTTCCGGTAGATACCGATTTTGGGCCTGTTCTACCGACATACCGATAAGGTGTCAAAACTACCGGATTTTCGATGGGTGCCGAGAGAATAAACAGAAGAAAAAAACATTCTGCACTGCTTCCATTCTTCTTTGTTTTTACGGAAATCCGTACATTCCGAAAGTTCCGTACTTGCCGCATCATCATATCAACTCCATGCGTTGAGAGAGAGAGAGAGAGAGAGGGGGGAGGGGGGGTCTTTAAAGTTTGATGTTCAAGTATCTTGGAATTGCAAAAACCTGACTGCTGGTTTTGCCCTTTTGCCCTTCCATATATAGCTGGGTTTCCCGTTCAATGAACGGACTAAAAAAGAATTGGTCGTCAAGTCATTGTGGGATCTGTACGTACTCCTTGTGAACGGAAGCCTCACTTGTTTACAAAGGCGTCTGAGAAGACAGACTTTCCCAAGATTAGATCTAAACGAAACTAATGAAAAACTGAAAATTAAACTACAGTGACTTCAGACTTCTTAATATAACTGTGCACTCTTTAAATGATTCCAAACCACAGTTATTTTATGGCCATCTAACGAAAGGATCGCAGTCGAATTTAGCACCAAGTAATAAAAGAAAACATGAGGCTAGATTAGATCTAGATCTATACGGGTCGCACACTTAAAATAGTGCTCAGTATTGCGCGACAATACGAAATAGTATCGAACGGAAATACGACTTGAAATAAACAAACCTGGCGGATGTTCTAAAATTACAGAGACAGAAGCGTCGGCCTGCAAAAGCAATCGGCGAAATAAAGAAATTTAGCTTTTTTCAGCAAAACTCTCAAATCTGAAAAAATGAAGGATGTCATGATCTGTAGAATATTTTAAAGAATATTTTGGCGGAAACCGCGTGTCGATCGATGCCGCCATTAAAAAGCCTTTTGAATAGCAAAATTCGGCCACCACAAATAGATAATACTAGCTGGGTTTCCCATTCGATGAACGGACTCAAAAGAATCGGTCGTCAAGTCATTGTGGGATCAGTACGAGTACGTACTCCTTGTGAACGAAAGACTCACCTGTTTACAATGGTGTCTTAGAAGACAGACTTTCCCAAGATTAGATCTAAACGAAACTAATGAAAAACTGAAAATTAAACTACAGTGTCTTCAGACTTCTTAATATAACTGTGCACCCTTTAAATGATTCTAAACCACAGTTATTTTATAGGCATCAAACGAAAGGATCACAGTCGAATTTAGCACCAAGTAAAAAAAGAAAACATGAGGCTAGATCTGGGTCGCACACTTAAAATAGTGCTCAGTATTGCGCGACAACGCGCGAGAGTATCGAACGGAAGTACGACTTGAAATAAACAAACCTGGCGGATGTTCTAAAATTACAGAGACAGAAGCGTCGGCCTACAAAAGCGATCGACGAAATAAAGAAATTTAGCTTTTTGCAGCAAAACTGTCTCAAAACTGAAAAAACCAAGGGCGTCATGATCTGGAGGATATTTTAAAGAATCTTTTGGCGAAAACCGCATGTCGATCAATGCAGCCATTAAAAAGCCTTTTGAATAGCAAAATTCGGCCACCACAAATAGATAATAGAATAGATATCCAGTCTTTGGGAGACCCATTGGAAAGACCAAACAAACCATTAACTTTACAACATTAAGCCCAAACTGGGACCGCGAAATCTTTCGGGCTTCTCCAGAAGAGACGAAGTCATTTTTACTCAATTACACATCGGACACACGGTCCTAACACACAAATACCTCCCTCAGGAATATGAGAAGCCATTCTGTGTCAGATGCGACACAGATTTTAACCGTTAGACACATTTTAACCGAAGGTCTAGACTTCGGAGAGACCCGAAGGAAATATTTTAGATCCAAAAAAATTGCAAGATCTGTTTTACGTTGTTGATCCCGACAGAATTCTGGATTTTATGAAGGCCATTGGCCTTTATGGAAAGTTGTGAATAAAATAGCTGTAAAATTGTTAATGTTATTTGAAAGTTATTTGAAAAACTAAGAACTTATTTGCCTCAAATTTTTAACATTCTAACATTTTAAAATCAGATTATTAACCCGAGCCAGGTTGTGCAGTGGACTGTTGTGAATGCAACCAACTTGTGTTTCGCGCGCTCATATGACCTTATGCAGTTGCGAGCTCCGTAAAACTCATACAAAACACACACACACACTGACACACACGCACACATATATATATATATGTCCCTGGGCAGTGCTACTGACTGGTGTCGTTAGGCCATTCCCAAAGGGGCGGATGTTAACATGTTCTTATGCACAGTAGAATTGTAAATGGGCTGATTTATCAATGTCGTGCTCATTCTGTGCAGGAATATCATAGGGAGAACTGCTGTTTTTTCTTTCCTCATCCTTACTGTGTGGGTGGTTGGCGGATGCTCTGGTGTGTTTTACTCCTTCTTTCCTATAGAAAGCTATCGTCCTTATCTCCCCTTTTTCTTTTTTATGTTTTGTTACTCTCTTGTAACACCTCTAATCTTCTGGCGCTCATATGACCTTATGCAGTAGTTGCGAGTGCCCAAAAACACTTACTAAAACTTAACATCCTTACTGTAGTCATGTTGCCTCTACTTTTATTGTATGTTTTTCACTCTCTTATGAACTGCTATTACCGGGGTGCCTTGAAGCAGACTTTGTGCAGTTGAGTCTAAAGAAGTGAGCAGAGTAAGCCTGATTCCCCATTTGGAATCTTCTGTTGACATCCACCCCTTGGCGTTCATATGACCTTATGCAGTTGCGAGCGCTATAAAACCTTACTAGAACTAAATTATACGTTAAATATATCTTGGCCTCCCGGGAAGCGTTCAATACAATCATCACATGTAGCATGGGGAAGTTTTAGCTTGCCAGTGGAAATAACAATATTTACTTCCCTTCCAGGTGGTGAACGGTGATGTCTCTGTCGATGAGGTTCACTCTCAAGTTTATCAGATTGCTTCAGAGACCATAAATGGCGCGTCAGAAAAGCCGCTCTTGAAGCTGTGGACGGATGGGACTGTTTCACAAGACAAATGAGGGCACTGGTATTTTTTTTCCTCCTTAAAGCACCAGTGGCAAGTGCTCTGGTATGGTTTGCTCCTTCTTTACCATTAAATATATATGTCGTCCTTATCTCTACTCCTTTTCTTTGTAGGTTACTTTCTAGTAGCACTTCTAATCATCGGCACTTATATTAATATGATCTATTTGTGTAGCGATTGCTGTAGACTCTTTGTAATATAATATGCGACAGCAGTAGAAAATATGTGGATTGGAATGTGAAATAAGAGCAGTTACAGATGAGCTGTTATGATTGGTTTTTCTTTCTTTATTGTATTTTCGTTTGTCCTTGATAATGATAGGTGCAGAACTTGATGGATTTTAACAGTAATAATAGGCCATTCCACAAAAAATGGGGGGGGGGGTGTTGTTGTTAGAGGCAGCCTTCTTCTAACATAATTTTGAAAACAACCCTGCCTTTCCCCCCCCCCCCCCAAAAAAAAAAAACAGCATGTACTCCTACTGTTTGTGTTGTTTGGAATTGTCTTAACAGATCATCACCTCTGCGTTTATGTGTCATTTCGGTTTGGGTTTTTTTCAGGCTTGTTCAGATGTACTCGGGCCAAAATTTTAATGTTTTAACTTTTTTGTATTGCAATTACTTATCTGTGGTTTTGGTTGCATAAATATTTTTTTATGAAATTAAAATACATTTTTCGAGGCCAATGAGTGGTTTATTTTATTAGCTTAGATCTAGATGTTGTGTCAGAATTAGATCCGTCACGATCATGATGATCTAAACAACCAGTGACGGTTCTTTCACTGGACAAGACCGGCGGCGCCGGTTACTTTTTGTCGCTGGGCATTAGACAAGAGTGTGATTGCTGACAATAATTTTCATTTAGTTTTAAGTAAACAAACATTAATTAACATTTAAAAAGAACTCGGCCGATTTGAAGCCCCTCAGGGAGACAACAGGGGTTCACTGATGTGTTGTCGCATGACAGAGACTCTTTCCTTCATCTTCGTTTATCATGCCGGCTCGTAACTTTCATTAAATTGCCTCTCGTCAAGCTGTGGAATTTCTCTGCGCGAGGCCCGCTCAGTGGTGACATCAGCCTCCCTGGCGAATTCAGCTTTTGCCCACAAAGCTCAAAGAAAGCTTCTAATTGCCAATTGACCTCTCTGTTACATACAAAGGAAGGACATGTCTTCAGTACAAATACATGTATTCATAATATTTTACTTAATTTCATCGGTTACATTTATTATTCAACCTGCCTCATATTACTGCTTGTCAGCATATTTGTAATCTTTAATGCCTATTTCATTTTAAGCCATCTCATGGTTCTGTTTGCTGTTCTGTTCATCGCCTACTTCCCGAAGTTACCTTACCTGGCCAAGGGCCATGACGCGAACTGCCGATTTGGAATTAAGGGATTTCAACAAGGAGAGAGAAGCGCCTCGTTTGGCTGTCTGAGTCTGGGCCTAAAAGAATACACCCCATCCCCTTTTCCACCTTCACCCAAGCTAGACTCTAATTTTTATAATTAGCATTTGACACAGTTCCCCACTGAGAAATTAGAACAGTGTTCTGAGAACTGAGAAGAGCAATGAAGAGAAGAACTTTTGAATATGCTCGGAAATTGTGTGCTAAATCTGTCCAATATTTGCGTGGGCGGGTGTTTAGTGCAGTCCAAGACAGAAGATACCAAGATGGGGACAACAGCCTCATTTTCGGTCCAACTGGCTCTCCTTGGTAACCAGCTTGCTGCGCGTTTAGAATTAAAGCGTAAACAAACGACCGGGAGAAAGAGCGCACTGTTCAACTCCCTGAAATAGCTGCCTACTTTGAATTGCATATATTATGACAGTTTTGCCTTGGGTTTTTTTTTTCATATATTCTGTTTGGTATTTCTTTTGACTTGTTTTTGTTCACATTTTGAATATAGTGAGTTGAGAAATAAGATTTTTATGAACGGGAAGCGGTAGTGAGTTGACCATGTTCAGTGACATGATGATGTAGATCTAGGAGTTTACGAAACGGTAGAAGTAGATTAAATCTTACAGCTTAAAAACGACAGAACAGCCAGTGGTGCTCTGCAATGAACTGTTCTCTAACAGAAAATGCAATAGATTGGATATTTTTTAAAACTAAAGATACGGTCCGATGTGCCGACGAGGGTGAAGACGGGATCTGCTAAGCAAGTCACCAGACTGTATCTTTTCTGAGAACGTTCTCTGCTCTGAGTCTTGGGTACTTTGCGGACTCTCAGTTTCTTGGTGCTACGGCAAACCAACTGAAGTGTGCAATACAGCCATACCTGTGTTATTGAAAGTTCCCAATCCCCATACTCTAGAAAGAAGCATAACCACCCCAAAAGGACTTAATATGCTAACGAAAGACTCCTGCTCTTTTACAACATGGAAATTCCTCAATCTTTAACATCATTTTCACAAGTAAGTTTTCCTTTTTTTAAAAATCGTGTTCATGTATCTAGCCAAGAATAAGCTATTTTGTTAAAAGTATTTGTATAATATAATGAATAATAGAAGCGAAACCTCATCACATTGTGTTTGTTAACAAGGTAGGCACTAAGTAATATATAGGCGCCCATCCTATAACTGTACTTACAATGAAGGGAGAAATGGAGTCGTTATAATAACAGTTCACCCCTCTTGAGTTCTCATTGACACGGTAGGCATTCACAAAGTATGCGATCTTCAACTTCTATCTTCTGTATTCTGCGTAAGATTCGTTCGTTGGCGCCACAGAATTCTACACAGTGTCGAATTCTGTGGTTGGCGCCCTCTTTGCAAATGCGCCCCCTTTGCGAACAGAGTTACCCTGCTTGTGTTAAAAAATCAAAGTGAAACCAACAAGTTTTTGAATAAATAAGATTTTTAATAAGAATTCAAATTTCGGAAGAACGCTTTTTTAAGATAGTTACGCTGACAAAAACCTCAGGAAGAGGCGACTGTTTTCTTCTCGTTTAATTTGACTGTAGAATGAGAGGCGAGAGGTAATTAAACTTTTAAAAAACCTAAAACTCCGCACTGAACGAACCCGAACAGCTGATGAACAGCAGTCGATCTGCGCATGCAAGGAGGTGCTATTCCTATTCTTCTTCTGGAGAAATGAAAGAGAGCTTCAAAACAAAGACTGCAGCGCCATCTGAAGCAATGAGCGGACTTCCGCGGACACTTTTTTGGCTGAGTGGACCATCTTGTTATGTATATTTGGTGTAGTGTAAGTAACTTGTACAGTGGAAACCTGATATAACAGGGATGGTGGGAGTAGAGAAAATGTCCTGTTATATCCGATCCCTGTTAAATCAGAAATGCAAGGAAAGTAAGCATTTGTGGACTAATCCAGCTGTACTTATTCATTGGTAGTTGCCCTAGTATCCACGAACAGGGGTTTTGGCACCAACTTTCTCCTTGCCTCCTTAAACCATATCAGAAGAGCTTGGTCCAGAGATTCTGCATCGGATAGTCTCATCTTCTTTCGATCCTGAGCAAACTTTCCATTGGAGTATGCTGCCACTATCTTCTCTCTATCCTTGATAATGGTGTAAATCGACCCTTGTGGAATGTCGAACTGATGACAAATCTCTGCCAGTGGAGCTTGCTTTTTGTCAACAGCCTGGATTATTTCGTATTTTTTGTCAATTGAAAGGCATTTTCTCTTGCGCTTAACATCGTTGGTGACACATTACGCGTGCGTGTTGCTAGGTTTCAGGCTAGATCAAGGTCTGCAGCACACCGCAGCGGTCTCTCGCTTCACGCTGCGTGTGCTCGCAGTGGCATGGCTTGCGTGGGCTTGCTCCATCACCACGTTACTCTCTCTCTCTCTCTCTCTCTCTCTCTCTCTCTCTCTCTCTCTCTCTCTCTCTCTCTCTCTCTCTCTCTCTCTCTCTCTCTCTCTCTCTCACACACACACACACACACACACATTCTCTCTCTCACTCTCCCACTCTCTCTCTCTCTCTCTCTCTCTCTTACTTTTTACACATTGTTAACGAGCCTTTGTTCCTGTTATAACCGGTAGGGCTCCGATGAGGCCCTGTTATTGCCGATAACTTTTAATATAGACAAAGAGTAGGAAAAAACGGGGGTTTTAAAAATCCCTGTTATTATTACCGGATCCCTGTTATTACCGGGCCTGTTATATATGGTTTCCACTGTACTCGAATGCGATTTGTTGCGAAACGATTTTCAGACTGCGACAGGTAGGCCCCTGTTGCATCATTTGCGGCGAAACCTAACGCGCCCCGTTATAAATTCGTTATGTGTAGTCATTCCGGATCCATTCTTCACATTCAAACTTCAACCACTCAAACGCACATAATTTATACACTATTCAGCCGATGTAGTGCAGCACTATCTGTCTTTGATCATATCCCAACCACCAAGCACCCACATACAAACATAATCTGTGTCTAGATTCTAGGAAGTTTTAACACTTTATGTACACTACTTGTACTTGTAATATAATGCAATAATGCATCTTCATGGTCTTGATACCACAGTGTGAGTATGACGCCGTGCGGGGCCGAGCCTTGTGGGGTCATGAAACCTGATATTGACGATAATGGTAGATGTGTTTGTTTTCCACCAAGTGCACAGGGCAACTTAAATTAGATCTAGAGACAATTGTGACCAAAAAACATTCTCTTTTTTCTAGGTGGTCTTTTTTGACACATCAGTGCGGGTGCTCAAGAAAACAGTGTTACCAATACAAAGAAATTATAACAGTTCTGTTGGGGAATTGCGTATTGTTCGATCAGTCAGTGAATGTGAGTTTTCGGTGTTAATTATCTACGCTGGACAGTAATATATGCATGTATATTATTATGATTTAATTTGCGAGGCAACGTGGTGGAATCAGGCGCTTGTCAAAACAATGAAATCAAAGAATTTGACTTGTTCTGTCCTTTTGGCAATTTTAAAAATCGATTTTTAAAAAAAATGCTCAGCAGGTTTGATTTAAAAACACATTCTTGAATGGATTTTACTGAAAAACATTGATCAAAGGTACCACAATGGTAACTTTGTAGTCTGGAATGTACTACAGCCACTTGAATTGCCCATATCCCACCAGCTGAACAATGGGAAAACATTGCATAACGATATGGTGACTTATGGGATTTTCCTTTTGCCATTGGTGCTTTGGCTGGAAAACATACTGCGCTAAAAAAACAACTCCATGAACAGTGGATCTCAGTTTTATAACTATAAGTATAAGGGGTTCCATAGACCTAGTATTCTGTCTCCGTGGTTTTATGCACCCCGCGTAATTTAGCAAAATTTGATCTTTTTTCCCCCCATAATTTCTGATTATTTTCCTTTATCATTCTTTGTTATAATGAACAGAATCGCATAATTTTACATTTTTGAGCTCATTTTGCATAATTTCAAAATTTTCCTGCTTAAAAAACGACGGGGACAGAGTATTGTACTTTTGGCTCTGTGCGATGCTGATTCGTGTTTCATATTAGTGGCCTGTGGTCAGTATGGTAGGGTCAGGGATGCTGGTGTCTATGGTGCTTCTCGCATTTGTGCTTCTTGAAGAAAAACAATTGAACTGAACTTCCTCGAAACAAAACTCAAAATCGGTGGATTGTACAATCAGATTTTATTGATGATACATGTACAGTAGTCTCCGCTTTCGTCATCTGACGGGTTTTTTTTACTACAGTGGAGTCCACTTATAACGAG